ACTAGTCCCTGTGACCCTGCTCATACTGAACTTGAGAATCCTCACCTGATCCTCCTTAGACGGAAAATCCACTTTGTAAGAGTTATCGGTGAGCTTAAGTAAGGACCACTGAAAATTACCTGAAGCGAGCTCTCTTAACTGCTGAATGATCTGAGCTTCGGTCAACGGCCCGTGAACCACCTTCACCACACCGGGGAAGGACGTTTCCACTATGGGCGCAGAAGGCTCCGTAGAAGGAGACTCAAAAAACATCAACTCCGAACAACACACTCCGTAGATCTGAACGGATGGTTTAGGCCCCAACATAAGAGGACAGTCGGCCGCTGTGTGTTTAGGTTTCCGGCATAGGTCACATAACTCTACAGTACAGTGAACCAAAAAGTGACCCGGTTCCCCACAACGGAAACAATTGAGCTTCTTCTTCTTAGCCGCCCACTTAGACAACTTGTCACTCTCAGCCTTGTCCGAACATTGCTCAGAAGTAGAATCGCCAGTCTGCATGGGCTCTGGCACAGAAACTGTAGCCAAGGCCTGCACCATCTCCACCGCCACCTGCGGTAAATCCACTACACCCTCCGCCACCTCCGTCACTGTAGCGGTCTGAGTACGCCGAGGCTGATAGTGCCTCCGGTTCCCGCCCCGACCTCCACGAAAGCGTCCTCGGAAAGCACGGTTGTTAGGACCGACCGCGCCCTCAATGAAATTTCCGGTTGGTCCTTGGAAACCCCGGTTATCATTGCCATTGTCCACCCAAGCATAACCACGGCCCCCTCTAGTGAAGGAAGAACCCCGGTGCAAACCAGCGCCATAAGAATCATACCCGTCATCGCCCCACTGATCGTGCGGGGGGTTACGGTCATCTCCCGCCGACGCACCCGTCGCAAGGCCGGTCGGACCCTGACCACCACTGCCTCGGCCTCCCGCCATCTGCCTCGGCCATGGACGTTGTGCCGGCAGCGTTTCGGGCCTAGCAGCCGGCGCATGTGCAGCCCGCGACCCGGGGACAGGCGCCATTGGCGGGGGCATCGGCCCCCGAGACGGAGCCGGTGCCCTAGCCGCGAGCGGGGCCAGCGCCCCAGCTGGGGTCGGAGCTGGCGGCCTCGGAGCCGGCGCCCGAGGTGGAGGCGGAGCTGTCGCCCTGGGCGGCCTCATGGCTGCCGTAGGCGGAGGCGCAACTCAAGCCACACCCGGCGCAGGCAACACCGCAGCCATGGCAACCGCACCCGCGGGCGACGTTGCCTTCTTCGCCGGCGACGAAGGCTTGGGCGGCATCACGTCCTCTCCGGCCGACGTCGCAATATCGACACAGACACCCGAGGCCCGCCTCGCACGGCCACGCACAACAGACGGAAAACCCACCCGTCCGCGGCGGCGAACCCTAGCGAGAACAACCCCTCGACAGGGCGAAACTGATCGTGCATGCGATGGCACACCATCCGACGCAATCACATGCACGAACGCCTCGACAGGCCTCTCGCCAATAGCCGGTTTTGCCTGGGCCTTTAGCCCCGCTAATCCCGGTCCACACATAGGCAAACCACCCGAGCCCGACGTCCCGGTCTCGGAAGTGCCCGTACAGCGGCCCACTACACCCAGCCCGTCAGAACCCAACAACGCATTCAAACGCATGATCCGATCCGCCCTAATCACGGACGAACGATCACTCACCGGCTCCGGCCTCTGCGCCGCCAGCGGCCGCCGATCCTTCTTCTTCTTCCGCGTCACAAGAGTCCAGTTATCCAGCAAGAAATCAGACAATGTTACCGGTTTTCTCAGAACCTTTGGAATTGGTCCGCTCCACGGCTTCATCACTGGCTTCGAGATTTGAACAGTAGGGCTACGCCGATCGTTCTTGATCTCAAGCTCCGGCGAAGAACCAACGCTCGGCGAGGCCATGGACACTCCGCCGGCGATCTTCATAGATATATGGCTCTCGACCTGCTCCTCTCCGTCGCTGTCCGAAAGCACCCAAAATCTCCCTCCTGGTCTGGCATGAACCATCGGCTCCGAAAGATCGATCAACTCCGGTGACCTCGGTTGAACATCCACCTGCACACATTCACCAACCACTACGTCATATAAATCGAGAATGAATCTAGAACCCACCTCAATCTTGCCGCCGTCCGGAAGGTGAGGGAAGGGGTGGGGTAGGCATGGCTGCGGTCGGGAGAGGGGCGAGTCCGGGAGCGAGGTTGCCGGTATGTGGGGACGGCGGTGGCGGCGATCAATGTGGGACTCGGGAGACGGGGGAATCGAGGGAGAAGAAGAAAGAAAGCGGGGTTTGGCTGGGCTGGGGTTGGGTGGTTCAGTGGTGGGTTCCTCTTCCGAGCAGACTATCAGACCGAAGTAGAGTAAGAAGGAACGGCGGCTGGAGTGCGGTCACTGTCGCAAGCCTCGTCCCCAACCTTTCTCTCGATTGGGCGGCGGCTACAGGGACAGCGATATTTTTTTTTGAGAGAAAGGGACAGGGATATATGACCAGAGGGAGAGGAGAATTTGCTCCTTCACCCCCTTTAGCGAATAGTATGGGCTAGAATGGGCTGCCCGACAGCCCAGTTAACCAAAGGGTTTGCTTTCGGCCTCTGGAACAGCAGCCCACAGGACAGCTTGGCCAGATTACACATAATGCGGGACATGTTGTTTTTCACACGAAATCTGACTGTCGGGAACGTCCAGATCGCGAAAAGGGATGGCCGGCAACGCTAATCGCTGAGAGCGCTCGGTTTAGGCCCAGTTTTACTGTCCTTATAATGAATCCATACCTAGGCCGTATGATGCGGAGCCTTCTCTCTCCCCTCTCTCGCATATGCATGTATGCATTTAGAAAAGTCCAAACATGGCATTAGCAAAAGACAAGTCATGTTTTAACTTTTTTGTGACGAATAAAAGTACCTTTTGAGTAGGTAATCCAATTGATGACCCATTCTAACTATTGTATTGTTGAGATGCGATTTTCAAAACAAAATCCCATGTTGACATTTTTTTATAACTTTGGGTGTTATAAGATTATTGTAGTTACTTGTCAGCTTATTAACTACTTCCTCCGTCCCATAATATAAGAGTGTTTTTAACAATGTCAAAAACACTCCTATATTATGGGACGAAGGGAGTACATGATTGCTAGATTGTATTAACAGTTGCCAAGGTAAAAAAAAACATCAATGTACACCGGTGCAGGCTTACTTCGTGACACCTGTATTTGTTGATACCACTTCTTACTTGTGGTTAACACTTGGACACTGATCCTCTAGCATTGCATTACTTGCAATGTGTAAAAGCATACACATTATTATCTGGTAACTACATGTAGCTATCATCGTGGATATTTACTACTAACATGACAAGATACGGTGACATAACTTAATTGCTAAATTCGTCAAAATATTACAAGATAGGATCTCCTTTTGAAGCACTCATCAAAATAAACTCACCATCAAAGATAGATCCTGATTGAATTAACCATTTCCATTTGTGAGATCATTGATTTTTATTCTTCAGATTTAGCAATAATGAGATGGAAGAATTTGCATGGATGAACGTGGTCTCTCTGTTCTGGAAAAATGTCATTGGAATGCCACCACGTGAGAAAGCACTTTTGCAAGCGTACGTTGTGTATATTTGCTGTCCTTCATTTATTTTAAAACATGTGTTTACAAGAATTTGTATGCATGAACGTGCTCTCTCTGTTGTAGAAAAATGTCATTGGGATGCCAGCACGTGAGAAAGTACTTTTGCATGTGTTGTCTATATTTTTTGTCTTTTATTTATTTGCAAACACGTGTTTAAATTAATTATCTGCTTTGTTGCTTGTCTCAAATGAAACGTCCTCTATACATTTTAATTATTGGATCCACTATTTTTTCGCAAGAATAGTCATGAACCATCCTGCCATTGTTAGATTTTTTGGCTTTACACCATTGTCCCATGTCCCAACTGATAGTTAAGATTTATTCCGGTGCTTCATAGCCATCAAAGGTTTGTTTGATTTTTCTTTGGGCAATGCTACGCGTCTGCCGGGTGATAAATCGATACGATCAGCCGCCTCGGCAACCGCCGGGTGCCGCCTGAAACAACCGTCCGATTTACCGTCCCAACCAACTGGGCGCCTCCGCAACATCTAGCTTGTTGCGCTCAACAAGTACCTTATTGCAACGCTCCACTGAGACAACACCACTGCCCCGCCATGGCCTGGGTGCCTCGACCATGGAGCATCGCCGGCTGTCGGATTCGTCGCGCCTCCTCTGAACGAGCACCCCGAGTAGATGCCTCTACTCCAGCACGACAACGATGAACTCTCACGCCGGACACTTCTCTGGCGATTTCTGCAACCAAAGCCATGTTTCTGAAACATGTGTCGTGTTGCAATGTTTGCCCTTGTACGCTCTAACGCGGGACGCTCATTCTGCACTTTCTTCAACCGGGACTATGTTTTTGAAACAATACCCTTGCTGTAGAAGAGAAAATATTCATCGCCGAACTATTTTTCTTCTTTCTGAAACAAGACCTCTGTTGCAGAACTTTCTGAAACTAGACCCTGTTGCCGAAAGAAAAACTTCACCACCAAACACTTTTTTTTCTTTCTGAAACAAGATCTCTGTTGCAGAAAGCTTTTGAAACAAGATCTCTGTCGTAGAAAGCTTTTGAAACAAGACGCTTGTTGTAAAAAAAAAACTAGCCGCACGGGACTTGTCGCGAGTGCGAGCGCCCGATCAAAATCAATCTTACGGCTACGTAGGCGGTGGATGTTGTGTGTGCATCAGCCGGATGAAGGTTAGGGTTTTCCTTTTTCTTTTGATTGGAGGGCTAGGGAAAATAAATAAATCTTTCACAAAAGAAGGAAGACATATAGATCAACCATTGCAGAATTTGTCTCAAGAATACAACCATTACAGTTTACTGATTGTTTCTGTATGAACTAAACCTAGGTGTGCATAGAAAATAAGTCTCCCTCACTACGCGAAATCGTTCCAGCACATAACAAAACATATTGACGGCTTATATTACTTTTCACAGCAGCAAATGCCACTCGCGCAGTGGCTTTTATCCTCATCATAACCTTGGCGTCCGCAGTCAACCTTGCACACATAGTCGCCCTGAAGTCCTGCTGGGGTCTGGCAGGCTTTCTCGGGTACGCAGAACTTCGTCCACCCACCTATAGAGCAATTAAGCAGGTTAGCACACAACTGTCGACCAGCAATGTAATTTAAGGGATAAAGGATACGCTAGAGAGAAACTAATAGGAGGAATATATACCTGCTGCATCACAGGACAAGAAGGTGGTAGACATGACCAGGAGAGCCACCAGACAAAAGACCCGAGCGTTGCTACTGGTAGGAGCCATGAGAAGCGGTTAGCTATATTCCTTTCCTTCCTGTGTCGATGGTACTAGTTGGTAGATGTTCCATGGATGTGCTGTTGTTTATATAGGGGAAAACAAAATCACAGAATTATTCTTATATTAATGAGAAAAATTTGGAGAGAATTATAAAGATCCTGTATTGATTTTCGTAGATACGGACATGACACAATCGCCCACAGCCTGAGTGATAGTTGATTTTCGTAGATCATGTATTGATTTTCGTATATCCTATATTGATTATTGTAGATCCTGTATTGATGTTTGGACCAGCTGCAATTCACACACCGGAAAGTTGCAATGTAGGACGAGCTACATGGTGTCCATTATCTCAACCGTTCCTATTTTACGAGATGTGTGCGGCTAGCAGTGCTGGAGCAGAGGTTAGCAGTGCTATTACCAGAGTGTTTGACCCCACCCCAGCGAGTGTGATAGTTGATGCTTGAAGACAAAAACATGTCTTAAAATTTATAGGATTCGTTTGATCGCCTGCAACATTTTCATGTTTGTGGTGAGCTTGGCTGAGTTGGGCCTGGTTCTGAGGGCAACTCTAGCAGACCCCGCTTCCTTTCGGCCCGCAAAACGTGTTTACAGTTCGCGGAAAAACGCCTTTGTGGGCCGGCACGGACGGCCGTAGTTGCAGACCCCGCATAATGGATCTATAAAAAAGATATTCTCAGAATATGTTTTTTTACGGGTTAGCTTTGCTGTGTCTGATATGGCGCAATTTCTCCCGGCCCGCAAAAATTAAATTTGCACCTTAATTTGGTCTAGCATATTGCATTTCTTTGTTTTTTCAACAACACTGATGTAACGCCCTTGATGTGGCTATATCTTCCACGTGTCGAAGCACGACTTAGAGACATAACCACATTGAAAGCAATGTCGCAAGTGAGGTGATCTTCACACAACCCATGTAATACATAAAGGAAAAAGAGATACATAGTTGGCTTACAATCGCCACTTCACACAATTACATGAATAAAGCATTACATCAACCAGATACAATCAAGGTCCGACTACGGAACCAAAATAAAAGAAGACTACCCTAAATGCTACACAGATCGCCGATCGACCCCAACTGGGCTCCACTACTGATCAACTGGAAACGGAACAACATAAAGGACAAGATCTTCATCGAGCTCCTCCTTGAGCTTGGTTGCGTTATCTGCACGGTTCAACGACACCTGCAAGCTGGTTTTGGAAGTATCTGTGAGTCACGGGGACTCAGCAATCTCACACCCTCGCGATCAAGACTATTTAAGCTTAATGGGTAAGGTAAAAGGTATGTGGTGGAGCTCCAGCAAGCGACTAGCATATTTGGTGGCTAACATACGCAAATTAGAGCGAGAAGAGAAGGCAAAAGCACGGTCGGACAACTATGATCAAGAAGTGATCCTAAAACAACCTACGTCAAGCATAACTCCAACACCGTGTTCACATCCCGGACTCCGCCGAGAAGAGACCATCACGGTTACACACGCGGTTGATGTATTTTAATTAAGATCAACTTCAAGTTTTCTACAACCGGACATTAACAAATTCCGATCTGCCCATAACCGCGGGCACGGCTTTCAAAAGTTCAAATCCCTGCAGGGTGTCCCAACTTAGCCCATCACAAGCTCTCACGGTCAACGAAGAATATTCCTTCTAGCGGGAAGACCCGATCAGACTCAGAATCCCGGTTACAAGACATTTCGGCAATGGTAAAACCAGACCAGCAACACCGCCCGAATGTGCCGACAAATCCCGATAGGAGCTACACATATCTCGTTCTCAGGGCACACTCAGATGAGCTCTCCATACAACTAAAACCAAACCTCGAGTTTCCCCGAGGGGGCGCTGCACAGG